TTATTGTTGAAACTGCTAATGTGACAAATTCTATTCTAAGAGGTTCTCTAGTGCTACTCGTCCAGCTGAGATGTCAGTTTAGGACCAATAACATTACCGACCCTTCTTTGGATTTTGTCTAGAATCTCTAGATACATAGCAGAAGCACCAGACCAGAGGGGTAGCAATATTCAACGCGTGGAAGAATAGTAGATTTATAGAATTGTAAGATAGATTCGGGAGAGAAAAATTGTCTAGAACGACACAGTGAACGACACTAGAACTTTCATAACAGCAGAGTATAATAATATATAATAATTCCGCGTCATGTCAGTAGAATACGTTAGCCTGAGAAGGCTCACTCCTGGAGGTTTGCACCAGCCATGCTGGCGGAAGCCTAAAAAAAGGTTCTCTAAGACAATTAAAAGGGGGAGACGTTGAAATTTACAAGCCATTTCTTGCCCCAATTAACAACAGATTAAAAGTCATTTTTGAGATCAGCTGCCAAAATGATTTCATTGAACCTATCAGTCATGACGTTCAGGCAGGATTGAATAATTATGTCGTCAGCATACATGCCGCGTCGACAAGTGAAAACTTTGGGAAGGTCGGTGATGAAAATTAAATACAATGTAAGTTCAAGTATAGAGTCCTCGGGGACACCAGCATTAATGTATAGGATCTAGAAGAGTGGTCTTTCAAGACAACCTCCAATTCCCAGTTTGATAAAGAAAAATGGATTAAATAAAAAATGCAGCCAGAAATAAAATAACTCTTCAACTTGTGACGAAGACCAGCCTACCAATGCTGTCAAATGCCTTCGAGATATCCAAAGCCACAGCCCGAGCTTCACCATTCCTGTCGAAAGGTTAATAGACAACTTTAGCAAGAACTGTTAACAGATCAGCAGTTAACAGATCAGCAGTTAACCTCATAAAAGACCCTGCGGGGTGAGATGCTTAAATTAGAGCCCCCAGGGCTTTGGCCAAACAGAGAAGTAGAAAACATATAAATGATTAAATTTCATTTATATTATTTACTCTCGGAATATTTTCCTTATCTTTCTTGTTATAATGCTTATATTTCAGTCTTTGTGCCCTCCGACCTTCATTAGCTGTTTATAGATACGGGTAATATTCAGGAAATGAACCCTTTATTTAATCTACGTGGGTAGATTGTTCTTTTCCCACTGATAGTCGCGTTGAATTTATTACTGCTCATTAATTGCTTGCCCTGATTTCATTGAGTTTAAATCTAGTGAATTAAATACTTGGTTTATGAATTTGGTGAAAAAGCAATCTGAGCTCGATCCCTGGACCAGACAGTGCTATACTGTCTAATGTATGAAATATAGGTATTAATCTTCCAATTTTGTTATTGGCTTCGATATCGTTTTAATATTCGCATTTCTCTTTTGATTTTCTTGAATAAAGCCATATTATCTAATTTTCTGTCTAAATCAATCATTAGTATCATCTTTTTTAGATTTATGATTCGATTCATCAGTTTGATGTTTCGATGGTATGACTGTATCAGTAAGAAAATCATGTAAGGCACATTCCGAAAGAAAAAAAAAACGATGTAAACAAATGCCAGAAATTGGTTATTGTATCACTTAGAGGCTTCTGTATAAGCCCCCCACCCCCAAAAAAAGGATTTAAAGAATATGAGAGTTGTTTTGCGGTTATGACATATTGAAAATATGCAATGTTATTTCATAACATTATTATTTTTAGTAGTAGTGGTAGGAGGAGGATCAGGAGGAAGAGGAGGGGGAGGAGGAGTAACTATTTGTGTGGATTATTTCCTTGTTTTCTTTTACTTTCACTTATTGAAAAGTAAAACAAAAATAAATGGATTTCGTCTTTATTGCCTTCCTCAGTAACGATATTTTCTCTTTATCATCATCATTTTCTACTTTTCCATCCACTTACCCATTACTACTATTATTATTGTTGTTGTTGTTGTTTTTTGGTTGCTGTTATTATTATTATTATTATTATTATTCACTAATAACTTTTCCTTCTTTTTGTTCATTCTCTACTTATCAATCCTGTTCACAAACCTCTTCTTCTTCTTCTTCTTATTATTATTATTATTATTAGTAATAGTAGTAGTAGTAGTAGTAGTAGTAGTAGTAGTAGTAGTATTCACAGATGCCTTTTCTATCTCCTTTTTCTTAAGTTTTCATTTTTACTTCTCTATCCTATTCATCTTATTATTATTATTATTATTATTATTATTATTATTATTATTATTATTATTATTATTATTTTCCTTTCTTCTTCTTCTTCTTCTTTTTTCTTCTTCTTCTAATTCTTCTTCTTCTTATTATTATTATTATTATTATTATTTACTTCTCTTTTTACTTCCTTATTTGGCCCCATCTTCATTTTCTTTTTCAGCAACCTGTTCATAAGTCTCTTCTTCCCATTATTATTATTATTATTTTATTTCCTTTGATTTTTCGTGTGTACTCATTTCTTTCCGGGTCCCACCCAGAGACCGAAGATCAAAAATGGCATCATGGCATTTTCCACTGAGCAATTAAAAAAAAAGAAAACACACACACACACACACACACACACATATTTTACATAGATAAAGCCCTTCTTAAGGTGTGGGCTGTACTCGTGAGAACATTTTTTTTTGTATTTCTTTAAGGCTTAACTATCAGGAATCCCTTCAATTCGTCTATCAATCAATCCGAGGGCTCCAACTACAATCTGGATTGTTGATATTCTCATGTGCCACATTTTTGAGATTGCACCGCAACAATAAAAAAATGTGTTTTTAAAGTTGATTAATTAATTGCTTGTTTAACGGTCCATCGGATCTTTATGGCTCATTTAATGCCGAAATTTAATTTTCTTGGGAGATTTGAAGTAACAAAAATGTGATATATGTTATTCTGCTTTCACAGTTGAATACATGGTAGATGATACTCTGCTTTTGCGCATAGACGTGTATGTATGGACATTATTGCTAGATGTGGTGACATGTGTATTTCATGCTGTAGTTGTGTTAATGATACATTTTGGAATACAGTTTGATTTCTTTAATAAATTGTCGGATATTATATAGATTAATCTAATCAAAGAATTCTTTCATATTGGTTGTTTGTTTGATTTTGTTTAGTGGCATATAAACTTCTACGGATTATTTAATGCCGAAATCTAAATATTTTGAACATAATTTTATTGTTTTAATTAAATATACTTCAAACACAATTTTATGCTTTTGACTACAAGTAAAACGTAACATTGGTCATTTTACTATAAATTGTATTGTTGGTAATAAATATACATTGCTGGTAACTTCACCTTAAACATGTATTGTTAGTAATTTTACTATAAATATGCATTGCTGTTAATTTCCTCATACAAAAATGCATCGCTGGTATTTTTACCTCAGGGCACATTCACACTTTCATTGTATTTTGTTTTTGCTTAGTAGTTGAAAATTTTCCCATAGCTGGGACCCTAACAGGTGCTACTACCCCGGGTCAGGGTAGAGCTGGGAACAACAGCTATTATGAGGTGGTTCTATGCACCACAAAACCTTCAATCTTCCGATCAGAACCCTTGCTTCAGGATGCATTTTATCGTAATATCCAGGACTAACGTTTTTTTTTTTTAACTTTATTAGTGCCATAACGACAATATTTCATTTAATAAATATCGACAAATTAATTTTATAATTTTATCTATATAATGCTACATTTAAACAAACAACAAATATGAAATTGAAACCTATATAACCATAATATTTACCAAATTCTATTTATTAGTGGTCGGTGCAGACAAATATGGCGTTGGCTTAAAATCGGATGATGAATACGTCGGTATATAGCCAAATTTTTACTATGCAAACAGCTTGTTTAATGATGGTAGACTGATAAAAAAAAAGAAAAAAAAAAAACAGTGTGTTCCTTACGTCCATATCACGTTGAAAAAGCGGTTCACATATGATCATCGATGTTAAGCAACGGTGAGTCTGGATAGATATCTATTGTAAATACCAGTGGCTGTAAGCATTGATGTGCGGGTGGTGAAATAGATAAAATCACGGAATTGTTAAACGGAAAGCTGAGTTTCAAATCCAGTCGGGTTCGTTCTATTCTCATACGCGCAAATTCCCTTCAGGAAGTTATGAATCCACCTCTTGTGCCCCTCACAGCTATGGTTTAATTAGTAGTAATTGTATCTGTAAATCCTTATTATATCCCAGCCAGCAAACCTTACAATCTAAAAATATTTCCTGGCTTTAAATAACCTGCAAATGTTTGATAAGCCGTAATAAGAAATCGATCAAAAAATAAAATTGATGGCAGCAATAAGAAGTAAAAGAAATAAGTTGACGACAATACGAGTCAACGGTTAATAGTAGTGTTAGGTTTTGGTACCTCCCCGTGGAGTAGTAGTCGTAGTACTGTTCTCCGTGTTCTGAATAGCAACCGGGTTTGCTAGACATAGCCAACCCAACTATGTTCGCCAGTTGTTCTCTATTTATACTTGTCTATATATAATTTGCATACGATATTACAAGTAAATAATACAATAAAAAGAAATGAAATATGAGTAAAAATAAAACAACTAAAATCTATGATAATAAAACAGAATAAGATATATATAAGGAAATAAAGAAAAAGGAAAGCATCAAAATAAATAATCTGAAAATAGAAATAATAAAAATGACAAAAGATTTAAAAGGATTACGAAACAAGTGGGGAAATATAGAAAAGGTAAATAAGCAAAAGAAATAAAAAGTAAACAAAAAAAATTAAAAGAAACAAAAATATCTGTCTAATTGCAATATGAGCACTGGTAAAAAAAAATGATACTGAAGACATTAGGTTTATAATACCCAGAAATTCATACACAAATACCCTCAAGGACACATGGCACGGTGGATGAAGGCGTTAGTTACATCCAGAGACAGGACCCAAAGAGTGTGAGTTCAATAGGGGGTAAAGAATTTAGAGAGGGGAATTAACAGGAGATAACTGACATCCATTAGATATGGCACGTGGAACTAGAACAGTCTACCCCAGCGAGCGAAATAAAGGGTTCAGTACGACATTACAACCACCTGAAGAAGGCCGGAGCGTACAACGACCGAAACGTTGTGATAAATATGGCAGCAGAGATGAGGATGATAATGTAAATAGTAAACAAAAATATACATAGAGAAAACAGCACAAAAGAAGCAAAAACTAAGATAAACAAATGAAATTATCTAAAATATTGAACAGAATAATATATACTAAAAAGGATACAAAAAAAAAAGAAATTAAAAAGGAACAAAATATACATAAAGAAAACAGTACAAAAAAAAGTAAAAGATAAGGAAATAGAATGAGAATAATTAAAATAAAATAATTAATGAACAGAATGTAATGTAAAGAAGAGGAAAATAAGAATATGCAAAACAATTTGTAAATAGAATAAAAGATATATACACAAAAGGAAACAAAGAGTGTGACTTGGATGTTTATATTTCCGCAGGCCGCCATATTTTTTTTTCTTTTTTGTACATCTCTCTTGTTCTTTTGTTTTCACGCTTACAAACAAATAGCCAGCCTGACATTTGGAACCAATGCAATGAACGTGCTGGGTAAGACGATAAACTACATCCGCGTCCTGGGTGAGACGATAAACTACATTCGCGTCCCGGGTAAGACGATAAAGTATTATCCGCGTCCCGGGTAAGAGGATAAACTACATCCGCGTCCTGGTTAAGACGATAAACAACATCCGCATCCCGGGTAAGTCGATAAACTACATTCGCGTCCCGGGTAAGACGATAAACTACATCCGCGTCCTGGGTAAGACGATAAACTACATCCGCGTCCCGGGTAAGACGATAAACAACATCCGCATCCCGGGTAAGTCGATAAACTACATTCGCGTCCCGGGTAAGACGATAAACTACTTCCGCGTCCCGGGTAAGACGATAAACTACATCCGCGTCCTGGTTAAGACGATAAACAACATCCGCATCCCGGGTAAGTCGATAAACTACATTCGCGTCCCGGGTAAGACGATAAGCTACATCCGCGTCCTGGGTAAGACGATATACTACGTCCGCATCCTGGGTAAGACGATAAACTACATCCCCGTCCCGGGTAAGACGATAAACAACATCGCGTCCCGGGTAAGACGATAAACTACACCCGCATGCCAGGTAAGATTATAAACTACATCCACGTCCTGGGTAAGACGATAAGCTACATCCGCATCCCGGGTAAGGTAAACTACTTCTAACAGCAATCCCTCTCATCGGGATGTTTTGAGGAGCGTGGAATCATATCTTAATTACTGGTGTTCCCAGGTTCACCCTGACCCGGGCTGGTAGCACCCGTTAGGGTCCCAGCTATGGGAAAATAGTTACTCCCCAAATTGTGGTCAAAACACCATGAAAGTGTAAAAATATGTTTTTACACTTTCTTGGTAGAAAAAAATATTACTAGCAATATATTTTTTGAATTGATTGAGGTTGATATGCTGTAAAACAAAACAAAGCAAACAAACAAGAGAGCCTGATAGAGCCCAACCCTCTCCAGGCCGGGTTTTGAATTCAGAGTTACTTTCTCCTAGACCGGTTGCCATTCAAGTATATAGAACCCAGTCTGTGCTGCTATTTACCCATAATTGAGGGAAAAAAAGGATTCATACCTTTCCTAAGGGTATAACATGTGACTGTAATGGATACGTGAGGCTATGAAAATGTAAAATTAGGTTTTAATACCAGCTATACATTTTTGGAGGAAAAAATTATTACCAGCAATACATTTTTGAAAAAAAAAAAAATAGAACAATCAATATATTTTTGAAAATTATTACCAACAATAAAAATTTTGTCGGAATTAAATAAGCTATTGTGGTTGATATGCCGGAAAACAAACCAAACAAAATTAAACCAGTGCAATGTGGTAAAAAAAGAAAAAAAAAAAAAACAACAACAAACTACAATTGTAATGTTTTTTTTCCCTCAGAACACTCAATACATTTTTTTAAAATTATTACCAACAATAAAAATTTTGTCGGAATTAAATAAGCTATTGTGGTTGATATACCGTAAAACAATCCAAACAAAACCAAACCAGTGCAATGTGGTAAAAAAATAAATAAATAAATAAAAATAAACTAAAAAAAAACTAAAAAAGAATACAACTCTAATGATTTTTCCCTCAGATTTTTCTTTTGTTTTTTTTTTTTTGGAGCGGGGATTTTTTTTTCGTATAAAAAACGCTGAAGAAAAAAAGAGACAAAAAAAAAATCGGAAAACACGAAACTGGTCATCGAACGACGTTTTTTTTTATGGAAAAATAGAAATAAAAGAAACAAACTGAGATATGATTAACTCTATAAATCCTGTTTAGGAGAAAGGCTTGCCATGTGGCTAAGATAGTTGCGTATTTCGCATCGGGAGTAAAGGTTTATGTTCGAAGCTAAATAAATGATAATGTTAATAGTGAGAATAGCCGTTTCCTTATGAGGAAACATTTGTTATTCAATAACGGAACAGTTTAGCATCGCTGTCGTTTGAAATTTATACAACATTTCTCTTAAAACAGTTGTTTTTTCTTCAGAAAAATAGCTTTCTCCAATCCATTAACTGTTTTCGTTGTTTCCAGTATTAACGGGTGTTTCCTTCCTAATCTTTTGTTTAAAGTAGTGTAGAAGGTCAGCATCTTGAATATATCATTACCTTCGTGTCATTGCTATTCCTTCAAAATTATGGCTCTACCAAGAAGCCAACCTGAGAATGCAAGGTCGGAATGACCTATAATAATGACATAATTTCACTGATTAATAAAATTCTTATTAATTATCCTACATAGTGGTTATAGAAGATCTGCGAAGAATGGTGAGACGTAAGAATCTGGACGCAAATTTACTGTGGATGATCTAGCAATTGAAGTCCATTAATTAATTAATTAATTAGTAAATTTCATTCTCTTTTAAGTCACTCTCTGTAATCTCTTGAATCGTAGTGGCATTGCCGCCTTGCTTGGGGTAAAATGATTAAAAATAATTAAGAAGATATAGTTTGTATAAAACGAGGAAATTTATATTTGTATCAATTCTGTTATTAAATAAATAGTAAATTTACTGTGGGTGATCTAGCGATTAAAACTCTTTCTATATACCTTAATTCCCCCTGTATAATACCCCTTCATCCATAATACGCACATCTAAAATTGTGCTGAAAGTGTGGAAAAATGCTTCTACTGACGCATAATACGCACCCCTTGTTTTGTAACCAAACCCTATAAACTTTACTTTTCCACTTTAATTACGGCCAGCGTTTCCTGGAATCTTTTCAGCTGTGATATACAATTAATATAATCCAATTAATATATATTTATATATAATACAATATATGTTAAATTCAATTTATATATATATATATATATATATATATATATATATATATATATATATATATATATATATATTAATTTTTTTTAAAAATTAGGCCTCGGCTTGAGGCAATCGGTTGTCTAGTCACACTGATGAGCTGTGAAACAGCGGAACAGTTTTTCTCTGGAATATATATATACATATATATATATATATATATATATATATATGTGTGTGTGTGTGTGTGTGTGTGTGTGTGTGTGTGTATGTATCATAGATATTCATTATATATTATATATATTTGTGTGTATATGTGCAGATAGATAGATAGATAGATAGATAGATAGATAGATAGATAGATAGATAGATAATTACCAAATGTAAGAATGGATGACAACCGATTGATTATTGGAGCCGTGCAGAGTCATAGAAATGATACGTATAATTGGACGCTTTCTTTGTGTTTCCCTATCTTTACATCCGGACATCTTTCAGCTACTTCCTGTACACCCCCGCCGATGCACACTTTCTCTTGACATCTCCATTAATGAGAGTCATTTCTCTCCAGCCCTTCCAACCACTTGCCCTCTAGCCTTCAAGAATGGAATGTTAGCGCGTCATCAATCATGTCTTATACGCCATCACTTTCAGCTCTCGATGAGGAGCACACTTCGTTAGACAGACAACCCGACATTTACTGGTTTTGTTGTCCGATCTTCCTTTATTTCACACCTATATATATATATATATATATATATATATATGCGCATTAACAGATATTACGTGGCTATTATGGGTTTTATAATCATATAACGTTACCATCAAATCGGAGTATTACGGTCACATCACGTTGAAACAGCGGTTCCCATACAATTACCAAAGTTAAGCGATGTCGAGTCTGGTCAGTACCTAGCTGGGTGACTGCTTGGGAATACCAGGTGCTGTAAGCTTGGATGTACGGCTGGTGTAATGGATTATGGCTCCGAATTGTTAATCGGAGAGACGAGTTCCAATTCTCATTGGGTTCTTTTCACTTAGGCCCCCCCCAAAAACACTTGGGAAAGGTATGAATCCAGGTCTTCAACCCCCCAATCTATGGGTTAATTATTAACGCCTTTATCACTAAACCATTAGTATTCCCCCTTTGATATAATTATGATATATATATATATATATATATATATATATATATATATATATATATATATATATATATATATCCTTCTAATCTAAAATAATTTTACCATTAGGAAACGGTTAATTATATCATTATCATTAGAAAACGGTTAATTTTACTATTAACATTCGGTAACGTTTGATTTTATTATTATCATTAGGAAACAGCTAATGCTATCATTACCATTAGGATACGGTAATTTTAATATTATAATTAGCAAACGGTTAATTTTACCATTACCATTAGGACATTGTTAAATTTACCATGGCAGTTAGGAAAAGGTTAATTTTACCATTACCATCAGGTTAATTTTACTATTATCATTAGGAAACGGCTCATTTTACCATTAGGAAACGATTAATTTTGCCATACCATCAGAAAACGGTTAATTTCACCATTGTCATCAGGAAACGTTTAATATTACCATTACGAAATGGTTAATTTTACTATCTCCATAAGGAAATGCCTAATTTTACGATTACCATTAGGAAACAGGTAATTTTAGCATTATCCTTAAGAAATGATTAATTTTACTATTATCATTAAGAAATGTCTAATTTTACCATTAGGAATCGATTAATTTTAACATTACCAATTTCATAAATAACAATTGTGAAATAAGAAACTGTTAACACATGACTCTCTTTTATCAATAAAATTCAAATTTTATAAAGTGAAATCGATATTTAATCTTATTTCCATTGTTTTCTATTATTGTAGTTTGGAATAAAGCAAACTACAAATAAAACTATAACCTCCATTTTACTATTCATATTATGCTAGCTTATTATTATTATTATTATTATTATTATATGCGCCGTGTCCGTTCAGGGTGTGGGGAAGAATTCCTCAATTTCCTATCATTTTTAACTTTTCATAATGTTTCTTTTTACCTATCCGTCCCTTTTCCTGTTCAATCACAAATTTATTTCTTACGTTACTCGATCTTTCCCCGTGTCTCACTTGGAATCAATACATCCCTGTGGGTGTCGAATTCTGAAAACCCTCTTTTCTCACTGTGCGCCCTAGATGTTTCGACCACCTCATTTCTGACTCAAAGTGTAAGAGTCCTTTTGGTTCTTATTTTCTTTAAAACTTGCTCATTACTTACATGTTCTGTCCATGGTATTCTCAGCATCCTTCTGTTAAACCAGATTTCTGTTGCCTCAATTGTGTACTTCATCTGCGAGGAGATTGTTCAGCCTTCACTGATATATTGGAGGACTGATAATACATAGCAGCTGAGCACACTTTTCTTTTGCATATAATGAACATTATCTGTTTTATTAATACATTGTTCAGCTTTTAGGATTTCGAATTTTCAGTATCGCATTCTTCGTGATCTGTTAAAAATACATGCCAGCCGTCGAGATCATCGAATTAATACGAATTCTACGATCCTTTCCTTAACTGTATAGTAGGACTACATAGAGTTTTGAATTTATAGTTCTCGAATACCAGTTATCCACCATGGTTACAGAGCCCTACTATTTAACCCATAGTTAGAGGATTTTAAATGTCGGATTTTCTCTTCCTAGACAGTTTACCACTAAAGGCTATAGAACTCGGTATGTACTGCTATTTACCCATAGTTGCCGATGAATTCATACCTTTCCCATAACTCATGTAAGTAAATTTTAACGAACGCAACAGGAATTTAACCTCGACTATGCGATTTCTCAGTCCAAGGCGCTATCCATTACTCCATCGTGCCATATAATTTGCCAGCCGCTTTCCAAGGCATGCAGCAATAAACGACATCATTAGAAGAGGTCTGGATGCAGCTGGCTTCCCTTCCGAAATCGAACCCATAGTCCTCGACAGTGGTGATGGAAAGCCGCTGAATCCTCTCTCCTGTCGTCGTTGTGCCGGCCGCTTTCCAAAGGCATGCAGCAATAAACGACATCATCAGAAGAGGTCTGGATGCAGCTGGGCTCCTTTCCCAAATCGAACCCATTTTCCTCGACCGTGGTGATGGAAAGCAGTTGGATGGGATTACCATTTTCCCTTTTAAAGTGTGGAAGTCGTTGATTTGGGATGCGACCTGTGTCGATACATTTTCGGCCGGTAATTTGGTCAGGTCCGTAGCTGAGGGTTCTGTCGTTCGGGACGCGGAGATTAAAAAAAAATAGTTAAAAAACCTTCTCTTGCGGACAGATTTATGTTTACTCCAGTATTAGTGGAGACTTCTGGAGTTATTGGCCCTCGTTTGATGGCGTTCCTTCGGTGGTTTGGCGGGATGGCGTCTCGATTAAGGGACGAGCCTCACGAAACGGAGTGTCTCACTCGCGATGGTGCGAGTCAATGATTTTTCCATTATTGCAGCTGGCAAAGGATAGCAAAAAAAAAAAAAAAATGTCGTGTATAATACTTATAAATTTATAACAGCTAAATTTATCCAAAATTTAATATTTGTTCAATTTTTTTTTTTCATTTTCAGATCGACTAAAAAAAAAGTATTTATATGTCTTATATGATGTTTTGAAACACAAACCTTACGCAGTATTTATAACAAAAGGAGGGACGGTCGTTCCCCCACACACACAAAAAGTTTTAGGATCCGGTATGTCTTGATATTTACTCCTGGCTGGAGGTTGAAGAGATGGCTACATACCATCTCCAAGGATATTAGCACGTATATGAATGCAATGTACTCGACTAGAATTCGAACCCGGACCTCCGATTCCGCTAGTGATTATTCCAGCGTACCTCCTATTTGATTTTGATATCTCCAATTTCTAGTTAAAATTCTGGGCTAAACCTCTTTCTGGCAACCGCACATTTTGTCTTTTTACAATTAATAGTTTCGTTTGGAATTGGATATAACGAAGCTGGTTAGAGTTTGAACTTTGCTTGCCAAATTCATTTTCCGACTCGCCAACCGTTACACGACCCAACATGTATCAGATTTCCTCACTGATTTAGAAAAAAAAAGAGAAGATATCTGTAATATGTAAAGTGTTTCCGCCATTATCCATAATTAAACCGTCCTGGGTATGACGATAAACTACGTCCAGCAACAAGGCTTCTGATCAGAAGGTTTTGAGAAGCATGGAACCACCTCTTAATTACTGGTGTTCCCAGGTCTACCCTGACCCGGGGAGGTAGCACCTGTTACAGTCCCAGCTATGGGCAGATAGTTAACCCCGAAACTGACGTAAAAAGCATTATAAAAATGTAAAAATGGGTTTTAATACCAGAGATATTTTGTAAAAGAATTGTCACAAGAAATAAATTTTTGAAGAAAAAAAAAAACTATTACCAGCAATATATTTTCGAAAGAAAATATTACCAGTAATACATGTCTTAAAATAATATTACCAGCTATACATTTTTGAGGAAAAAAATATTACCAGAAATAGGTTTTTGACAAAACAAAATATTACCAGGAAAAAAAAAGTTTTCGGCAATGAGGATTATATGCCGTAAAACACAACAAATAAAACCAAACCAAACCATAATTAAAATTAAGAATTCTTTTAAAAAATCAAAAATATGCAATGCTGCCAAGGTTCGGATACAGGGAATTCATTTTTTGACAACATGATGATCTCTGCTGGTCTTGCCTTCTCTCGTCCTAATGAGCCGTCAGAAATAAGACGTGTCTTTTGTGTCGATTTGATTTTGTCGTTGTATAGACCGAGGCTTGACCGTGTCCCACTTTATAATAAAAAAAAAGAAAAGAAAAAAAAAGACGAGAGGAAACATCCACAAGTGAAAACTCATTTAGCACGTAAATTACTTTTAAGTGGTTCGGACCAACTACTTAGATGTTTTCCCCAAGCGATGGACTTAGATAACCGGGACATATTTTTACGAGGACGAGTGTACGGGTTGGTCGGACATTTCATGAGCGCCGGAAGGGACTTTCCCGCCAAATCGTGAGAACTCTCCAGAGCGCTGCGTTTAACCAGCCATTTACAAAAAAAAAAAAAAAAAAAAAAAAAAAAGCACTTTTACTCTTCAACTCCTTCTTTTTAATGCCTACATCTTTGACACTTTATCAATTTTTCATTCGTTTTCTTCTTACCCTTATAAAAGTCAAGAGACGCATTCGCGATTTCCTCTTTAATAATCCTGTTATAGTTGCTAATATTGGTAAAATAAATACACGAGTGCTAATATCTATCATTGAAAGCAGTGGTCTGTGGTTGCTACAACTGTGAGATCAAGTGACGAATATCCATTTCATAAGATTCTTACCATATTAATAGGGTATGGTTCAACTAATAGTTTGTTATTATTATTATTATTATTATTATTATTATACAAACCGCTTCTTTCTTTTTAATTGTTCACTTCGACTTCCAACTCACCATTTTCTTTTTACTTCTACTACTACTACTACTACTACTACTATTATTATTATTATTATTATTATTATTATTATTATTCCCCTCTGCCTTTTCCTTCTTCTTTATCCTCATCTTCTTCATTTTCTACTTCCTTAACCTATTCACCATCATCTTCTTCCCATTATTATTATTAATATTATTATTATTATTATTATTCCCCTCTGCATTTTCCTCCTTCTTTATCCTCATCTTCTTCATTTTCTACTTCTCCATCCTATTCACCATCATCTTCTTCTTCCCATTATTATTATTAATATTATTATTATTATTATTATTATTATTATTATTCCCCTCTTCATTTTCCTTCTTCTTTATCCTCATCTTCTTCATTTTCTTCTCCATCCTATTCACCATCATCTTCTTCTTCCCATTATTATTATTATTATTATTATTATTATTCACCTCTGCCTTTTCCTTCTTCTTTATCCTCATCTTCTTCATTTTCTACTTCTCCATCCTATTCACCCTCATCTTCTTCTTCCCATTATTATTATTATTATTATTATTATTATTATTATTATTCACCTCTGCCTTTTCCTTCTTCTTTATCCTCCTCTTCTTCATTTTCTACTTCTCCATCCTATTCACCATCATCTTCTTCTTCCCATTATTATTATTATTATTATTATTTAATTATTATTATTATTATTATTATTATTATTATTATTATTATTTCCCTCTACCTTTTCCTTCTTTTCTATCATCATCATCTTCATTTTCTACTTCAGCATACTATTCACCATCATCTTCTTCTTCCCATTATTATTATTATTATTATTATTATTATTATTACTGATGTTGTTGTTGCTGTTGTAACCTCGGCAAGATTACTGAATAGAATAATCACACGAAGGTTGGTAATGAACGATAATACTTAGGACAAGAAGTCGTAGTCAACTGCTAGAAGTGAGTCAAGTGAATTCTACAATGAATCTTTAACTGCAGGATATCTACCAGCCGCCGCACGCGGTCAGATGTAGCGGGAGGCCGAATTAAATGTGGTGTGTCCGAGCCCGTAGGATCGGCCAAAAATTCCCCGTAGACACCGTATAAAACGGGGTCGGTTAGCTGTTTCTTGAGACAAGACTCTCTCCCCCTCGACGTAGCCTTGTCTGAGGATCCTCTCTGCCCAGAGGGAGAGAGTTTGACCAGCACAACTGGAGACGAATCTCCAACTGCGGACTAACATACAGTATTTACTACTGTATTTATGTGAATCGGGACATACCCATTATCGTCCGCAGGTATGTTACAACTATTATTATTATTCAACTCTAACTTTTCCTTTTTCTTTATCCTCAACTTCTTTATTTTTCACTACTTCCTCCTATTCACCATCATCTTCTTCTTCCCATTATTATTATTATTATTATTATTCGCCTCTGCCTTTTCCTTCTTCTTTATCCTCATCTTCATTTTCTACTTCTCCATCCTATTCACCATCATCTTCTTCTTCCCATTATTATTATTATTATTATTATTATTATTATTATTATTATTCCCTCTGCCTTTTCCTTCTTCTTTATCCTCATCTTCTTCATTTTCTACTTCTCCATCCTATTCACCATCATCTTCTTCTTCCCATTATTATTATTATTATTACTATTATTATTAATATTCCCTTTCCTTTTCCTTCTTCTTCATCCTCATCTTCATTTTCATATTCTCCATCCTATTCACCATCATCTTCTTCTTCCCATTATTATTATTATTATTATTATTATTATTATTCCCCTCTGCCTTTTTCCTTCTTCTTTATCCTCATCTTCTTCATTTTCATATTCTCCATCCTATTCACCATCATCTTCTTCTTCCCATTATTATTATTATTATTATTATTATTATTATTATTATTCACCTCTGCCTTTTCGTTCTTCTTTATCCTCATCTTCTTCATTTTCTGAGTTCCATCCTATTCACCATCATCTTCTTCTTCCCATTATTATTATTATTATTATTATTCCCCTCTGCCTTTTCCTTCTTCTTTATCCTCATCTTCTTCATTTTTTCTCCATCCTATTCACCATCTTCTTCTTCCCATTATTATTATTAAACCAATTATTATTATTATTATTATTCCCCCAGAATCTTTTCCTTCTTCTTTATCCTCATCTTCTTCATTTTCTAAAACTCCATCCTATTCACCATCATCTTCTTCTTCCCATTATTATTATTATTATTATTAAAGTCCTCTGCCTTTTCCTTCTTCTTTATCCTCATCTTCTTCATTTGAAAAAAGTGAATCCTATTCAAAATCATCTTCTTCTTCCCATTATTATTATTATTATTATTATTATTATTATTATTATTATTCACCTCTGCCTTTTCCTTCTTCTTTATCCTCATCTTCTTCATTTTCTACTTCTCCATCCTATTCACCATCATCTTCTTCTTCCCATTATTATTATTATTATTATTATTCACCTCTGCCTTTTCCTTTTTCTTTATCCTCATCTTCTTCATTTTCTACTTCTCCCTCATCTTAGGTGAGAGTATACGGAGACAGTGCGCTGCCTCTTTATTGACAGTATCTAAAGGAATACAATGCATTCAATTTAGGGATGGTTTGGCTGCAGATGTTGGCGAAAAGTTGCCTTCGGGTCTCTAATTATTGCAGCTCAGAAACATGGCCTCGCAACCAGATCCTATCACTGTGACATAATCAAGGATGGAACTAACCCGAAATGGAGGATCTGCGAAATATGATGAAGTTGTCGACAATATTATCTCAGGATATCCGGAACTAGGAGAAAATGAATATACTGAGACATAACAAGTTAGCGACATATGTGCGCTGGAAGATATGCAAGGAGCACAAAATCGAAACCACTGAGAGATGGTATGAGCACCAACCAGACAAAATAACGATGTAACTATCCTCTGGGACATGTCAATTCAAAATGACAGGGAAAGTAAAGCCACTAGATCAGATATTATCATAAAAGACAAGAAATTCAAGAAGTGTATACTTACTGACATAGCAGTACAACCTGAAAGAAACACCTCCATGAAATTTATCGAGAAATTGTCCAAATACAAGGACCTGGAGATCGAGATGAACAGGATGTGAAGAATGATAACTGAGACTGTATCAATAGTAATCGGAGCTCTTGGCCTCGTGAGAAAAGGAATGGACATTTTTACTAACAGTGTCACAGGTAACATCAACATAAAAGTTGACCAGAAGATCGCCTTACTAGGAACATCCCATATACTGAGAAAAGTACTACCATTTAAATGAAAAATCTTCTATAGGGCTCTACAGCATGCAAGGCAGGAAATATCAATAATCAAAGCTAATTGTGCATACATCGTAGTCAAAGACCACAAGAAGAGAAAATACTTATTCACATGGCAGTCCCTTCAGATTGTAATATATCTTTGAATATCGTCAGAAATATCTATGAAAATACAAGGCTCATGAAATGGAAATCTCAAAAATGCGACACATGAATACATCAATGATTCCATTTGTAGTTGTAGCCCTCAGATTGATTGGAAAAGGCTCCCATAGACTCATTGAAGGAATTCCTAGTAGCCCGTGCCTTAAAGAAATACAAACGATTTTTGTCTAACGTACGCCCGACACCTTACGAAGGGTTTTATCAATATAAAATATGTATGATCTTAGGTTTGGTTTATTTATTTTTTTACTGAAATGTTCAGTAAAAAATGGCAATATGACATTTTTGAGATGAGGTCTCTGGTTGGGACCCGGAATGAAATGAATATCAACAAAAATAAAGAAAATAATAATAATAATAATAATAATAATAATAATAATAATAAAAATAATAATAATAATAATAATAATAACAATAATAATGGGAAGAAGAAGATGATGGTGAATAGGATGGAGAAGTAGAAAATGAAGAAGATGAGGATAAAGAAGAAGGAAAAGACAGAGGGGAATAATAATAATAATAATAATAATAATAATAATAATAATAATAATAATGGAAGAAGAAGATGATGGTGAATAGGATGGAGAAGTAGAAAATGAAGAAGATGAGGATAAAGAAGAAGGAAAAGGCAGAGGTGAATAATAATAATAATAATTGGAAGAAGAAGATGATGATGAATAGGATGGAGAAGTAGAAAATGAAGAAGATGAGGATAAAGAAGAAGGAAAAGGCAGAGGGGAATAATAATAATAATAATAATAATAATAATAATAATAATGGGAAGAAGATGATGGTGAATAGGATGGAGAAGTAGAAAATGAAGAAGATGAGGATAAAGAAGAAGGTAAAGGCAGAGGTAAAATAATAATAATAATAATAATGGGAAGAAGAAGATGGTGAATAGCATGGAGAAGTAGAAAATGAAGAAGATGAGGATAAAGAAGAAGGAAAAAGGAAGAGGGAATAATAATAATAATAATAATAATAATAATAATAATAATAATAATAATGGGAAGAAGAAGATGATGGTGAATAGGATGGAGAAGTAGAAAATGAAGAAGATGAGGATAAAGAAGAAGGAAAAGGCAGAGGTGAATAATAATAATAATAATAATAATGGGAAGAAGAAGATGGTGAATAGCATGGAGAAGTAGAAAATGAAGAAGATGAGGATAAAGAAGAAGGAAAAGAAGAGGGAATAATAATAATAATAATAATAATAATAATAATAACAATAATAACACTTTGGAAAATGTGTAAGCAAACACTGGTATGAACATCAGCCAGCGCAAGTTACAGAAATAGAAGATGTCACCATTCTATGGGATTATACCATCCACACAGAGAGAAAAATTGAAGCAAATAGGCCGGACATTATTGTCAAAAACCAGAAAGAAAAAACTTGCCTACTAATTGATATGGCTTGTCCAGCGGATTGTAACATAGCAACCAAGGAATTTGAAAAACTATCAAAATACAAAGACCTGGAAATTGAAATAGAAAAATGTGGAAATTGAAAACAAGAATAATACCAGTGGTAATAGGTGCACTTGGAATTATAAAAAATGGAACAAAACAACACATTGAAAGAATCCCTGGAAACCCCAGCTTAAGAGACATACAGAAAATTGTCTTATTAAGTACAGCACACACACTAAGGAGAACTTTGTCTATGTAACGCTAGCAACTTCATCGGAGATAAAAAAAAAAAAAAAAAAAATTAAATTAACATGAAATGTGGCCATAACAACACACCACGACCTGCCTTAGGTCTTTCCGCAGACTTGGTAGGTAGTGTGTCCATAGCAGAAATAATAATAATAATAATAATAATAATAATAATAATAATAATGGGAAGAAGAAGATGATGGTGAATAGGATGGAGAAGTAGAAAATGAAGAAGATGAGGATAAAGAAGAAGGAAAAGGCAGAGGGAATAATAATAATAATAATAATAATAATAATAATAATAATAATAATGGGAAGAAGAAGATGATGGTGAATAGGATGGAGAAGTAGAAAATGAAGAAGATGAGGATAAAGAAGAAGGAAAAGGCAGAGGGGAATAATAATAATAATAATAATAATAATAATAATAATAATAATAATGGGGAGAAGAAGATGATGGTGAATAGGATGGAGAAGTAGAAAATGAAGAAGATGAGGATAAAGAAGAAGGAAAAGGCAGAGGTGAATAATAATAATAATAATAATGGGAAGAAGAAGATGGTGAATAGCATGGAGAAGTAGAAAATGAAGAAGATGAGGATAAAGAAGAAGGAAAAGGAAGAGGGAATAATAATAATAATAATAATAATAATAATAATAATAATAATAATAATAATGGGAAGAAGAAGATGATGTTGAATAGGATGGAGAAGTAGAAAATGAAGAAGATGAGGATAAAGAAGAAGGAAAAGGCAGAGGGGAATAATAATAATAATAATAATAATAATAATAATAATAATAATAATAATAATAATGGGAAGAAGAAGATGATGGTGAATAGGATGGAGAAGTAGAAAATGAAGAAGATGAGGATAAAGAAGAAGGAAAAGGCAGAGGTGAATAATAATAATAATAATAATGGGGAGAAGAAGATGATGTTGAATAGGATGGAGAAGTAGAAAATGAAGAAGATGAGGATAAAGAAGAAGGAAAAGGAAGAGGGGAATAATAATAATAATAATAATAATAATAATAATAATAATAATAATGGGAAGAAGAAGATGATGATGAATAGGATGGAGAAGTAGAAAATGAAGAAGATGAGGATAAAGAAGAAGGAAAAGGCAGAGGGGAATAATAATAATAATAATAATAATAATAATAATAATGGAAGAAGAAGATGATGGTGAATAGGATGGAGAAGTAGAAAATGAAGAAGATGAGGATAAAGAAGAAGGAAAAGGAAGAGGGGAATAATAATAATAATAATAATAATAATAATAATAATAATAATAATAATAATGGGAAGAAGAAGATGATGTTGAATAGGATGGAGAAGTAGAAAATGAAGAAGATGAGGATAAAGATGAAGGAAAAGGAAGAGGGGAATAATAATAATAATAATAATAATAATAATAATAATAATAATAATAATAATAGGTCTTTCCGCAGACTTGGTAGGTAGTGTGTCCATAGCAGAAATAATAATAATAATAATAATAATAATAATAATAATAATGGGAAGAAGAAGATGATGATGAATTGAATTGAGAAGTAGAAAATGAAGAAGATGAGGATAAAGAAGAAGGAAAAGGCAGAGGGGAATAATAATAATAATAATAATAATAATAATAATAATAATAATAATAATGGGAAGAAGAAGATGATGGTGAATAGGATGGAGAAGTAGAAAATGAAGAAGATGAGGATAAAGAAGAAGGAAAAGGAAGAGGGAATAATAATAATAATAATAATAATAATAATAATAATAATAATAATAATGGGAAGAAGAAGATGATGTTGAATAGGATGGAGAAGTAGAAAATGAAGAAGATGAGGATAAAGAAGAAGGAAAAGGAAGAGGGGAATAATAATAATAATAATAATAATAATAATAATAATAATGGGAAGAAGAAGATGATGGTGAATAGGATGGAGAAGTAGAAAATGAAGAAGATGAGGATAAAGAAGAAGGAAAAGGAAGAGGGGAAATAATAATAATAATAATAATAATAATAATAATAATAATAATAATAATAATAATGGGAAGAAGAAGATGATGTTGAATAGGATGGAGAAGTAGAAAATGAAGAAGATGAGGATAAAGAAGAAGGAAAAGGAAGAGGGAAAATAATAATAATAATAATAATAATAATAATGGGAAGAAGAAGATGATGATGAATAGGATGGAGAAGTAGAAAATGAAGAAGATGAGGATAAAGAAGAAGGAAAAGGCAGAGTGGAATAATAATAATAATAATAATAATAATAATAATAATAATAATAATAATAATGGGGAGAAGAAGATGATGATGAATAGGATGGAGAAGTAGAAAATGAAGAAGATGAGGATAAAGAAGAAGGAAAAGGAAGAGGGGAATAATAATAATAATAATAATAATAATGGGGAGAAG